GTCCCCAAGACACAAGAGGTCGAGATGGGGACTTAGGGCGAGCTACAGGGGTCTTATATACACAAATCCATGGTCCAAGAATAGTACAAGAGAATCACATGCAGGGCACAAGGATGAGTAAGACCGACCCACTTAGGTGGGTCAGGATTATGAATCAAGGAGTTAGAAGGAATAACGAGTCATTGTTCATGAGTAAGCGGAATAAAACTCCGGTGGCTGTGCAGGGCTGTGCAAGGCAGTGCAGGGTAGTGCAGGGCAGTGTAAGGCAGTGTCAGTGATGCTGTACTGCTGCCACTGAAGGTCACGTGACTTTGGAAAAGGAAAGGTGGTAAAAGGAAAATGATAAGTCCATATCTGGAAATGAAAAATGCGAAAATAAATTGTCCTTCTCTTCTCATCACATTCGCTTTGGACTCACTGCTGATCTCGTAGAGCAAATCCTTGTCGAATGAATATGTTGGCAGTTGTAGGATGCAGCGTAGCCGTGTTCATAATGGCGTCTTGGGCGTCCTGGTCAGCAAGCTCCTTCCTCAATTGAGTTACATTAACGGCTACGTTGCGTGTCGTATCAACATGTGCAGCGAGCAATACAGGAGAGACGACGGAACTCACCTTGCTCGGGTTCATTGTAGGGATTTGGTTTCTTCGTGTCGAGCTCCCATTCATGGATCATGTCCTCCCACTTCTTAATGAGTTCTGGACGGAATCGTAACGTATGCTCTTCATAAACTCTTTGGTGACGGGCGCGTTCTTGAAGAGTGTTGATCAACGACTTGAAGAAGAAATCACCTATCGATTGTGCGTATCAGCGGTAGAATCGATACCCAATCAGTCTACTCACCCATCTTGACGACCTTCCAGAAATTCCAATGTCCCCAGTGATCGTTGAGGGTATGGCGACGTGCACCCAGGCCCATGTCCTGCGTCATCGTGGAAACGCCTCTGATATGGGCCCACTCTTGCTCTATGGTCTCGGCGTGCGTGAGGCCGACGAACTCGTGAAGGAGAAAGTACATCACAGTTTGACATAGCAGCATATGCCCTTGGACATGCATGTTAGGAATGAAAAATCGCATAGTAATCGCGGAGAGTGCCGCAAAAGATGCTGGGAAGGCGGCGTGGCGTTTTTTTCGGTTTTTTTTCCATTGGCATGCAATGTCGTAACTGACAACAACGGGGAGTGCACATCCAAGGAGCAGGAGGGTGGACCAGAATATGTAGTCCATTGTCGCGTACCTGGCGCGAATGAGTGCACAGAATTGAACACTGGAGGGAAGCGGATATATCATACTTTTCGCCTTTCTGCAGATCGGCGACTCCGTTCGGTCTGACAAGTGCATGCCTTGCGCACTTGACGGCCCCGACACCGCTTGTCGACATGACGCCAGGCTTCGACTTGTTGGAGCTCATATGCTTTATCGCGTTGAACGCAGAATTGCAAGGGTCTGCCGTCTTTGAAGAATGGTAAGTCCATCTTTCCGTCACCAACGAGCACGTACTCACCTCCTCTTCCCCCACATATGACTCAATGTGTTGCTTGTACGGCTGCTCAGCTACGTAATATGCCCAACCACTGCCGAGTTCTGGGTCGTTGATCTTCCTGTCCTTGTTTTTCAGACGAAAACAGGCATCAATGGCAAGGAATAACGCGTAGATCCATCTACACAGACGTCAGTCAATAGAAGTAATATGAAGAATATCGAAAGTACCTTTGCTCTGGAGGACTCTTATCCCAGTCATCCGGAATGTTCCAGCCCGGTTGAGGACACGCTGGGCAAACGACCACCAGGGCGCCATTAGGCGTTGCTTCAATTCCCAACGGATCGTGTCCACGAGCTGCCCGCTTGAGGGCCATGAGATGAGCCCATTGCCTCGTCACTAGGGTCGCTTCGTGGTGTCTTGACTATCAACCGGCGCTGCTTAAGCCATCGCTCGCATCCACAAGATATCACTCACCGTGGTATCGTTTAGACCAGCATTATCTGTCTTGTGGATGACAGATAAATAGTAGTCATGAAGCGAGACTTTACCCTGAAGCGTAAGGCGATGGAATGTGTCGAGGAAGGAAAATGTGAACACGGTACGGGGCTGTTGAGTGGAGGCTGGATACCATCCGACATCCAGAAGCTGCTCAAACGGGAGAGTAGTCGAGCATGCACAGTATTTAACATCGACGGAGTGGTAGCCGTTTGCGTCGAAGACGATGAATGACTGATGCGCCGAATGTGGATTACCGCAGGTCTCGCTCTGACGATGGCCAAGTTGAACTTCCAGCCCTAGATCGCGTAGCGACACCGGCCAGAAGCAGTCGTCATCCCAGCACTGTGCATTGTGTCAGATGGCACAATACATATAGTCGCTCACTCACTTGAACGTGATGCAGCGGGAGCTTGCGGTGAGCCTCTACTATGCAATCCTTGCACATCAAGCACTCTCCAAAGCAGTCCTCACAGCGATAACTCCCCATCTGCGTTGTTGACAGGCAGATCTCGCACGGAGCTGGTGTTTCGGTTGGCAAAGCCTCCTGAGCGAGTAGGATGTCGAGGAATCTGTGGCGCATCTCGGGTAGCCACTGCTCCATACAATACTACAAGAAGGTTCGGTCAAACTCCTTACAAGCAAAGGATGCTACTCACTGAGATGGTCTTCGTAGGCGTTTTCTTCTGCGTTTGGTGTTTCTTGCTTGCCCCGGGGCCCTTGGAGCCTTCTAAAATAATAGGATCACCACATGGGCCTGATGAGTTTCCATCTAGGGAGATATGTTCATCCTGAGCGGGAGAGGATGTCTGATGGACCCGCTTTGCAGATGTAACAATGGAGCTTAGCCGCCCCGTTCTCTCCGATATCTTCAGTTTCACGTCTTCGGCCACCACATTTGGGGGCTTAGGGGGTGCTTTTCCGCAGAATTTTGGTAGTTTACGGGGGCGTGGCATCAATGGTATGTCGTGTACAGTGCTGAGAGACTAACAGCAAGCAACTCATACACGACGTGCAAGCAGCCACGTGTCTCTCAACGACGGTCCTGCTGCCCGAGGGATCCGGAGATGAGAAGAATTGTATTATATTTCCTAACGGCGGCGGACGGGATAGAAGACACATAGAATTGAAATGCTGCACGTCGGATCCGGACTGAGTGACTTAGACAGCTTGGAGAGGCATCGGCGAAGCTGAAATAGCACCGCCATGGCCGCAAGACCAATCATATCTTATCATAACTTCAACTTGACGCTGACAGTCAATCTCTTATACTCTGGACATATGGAGACGCTCCTGAGTATGCTCACATATGTGTATGGATGTCGACAATTGCAGTAAGGTCAATGAATACGGTCCGTCGCAAGTGATTCCTTCAGGTAATGTTGAGTTACGTGAATGGGCAAAACTGTGTTCTGCACATGCGATAACCGCCCCGATGGACAGCCAAGGTCCCTCCTTCGTTTGTCCGAATCGAGAGATCCTCCTGACATGGCGGTCTGGTCAAAGCTTGCTGTGCTCTCCGTTCTCGCTGGTCTCGCGTCGACGGCCATCGCGTCTGCAGTCGACTTGTCCAATATCGTTGAAATCGACGTGCGCGCGAGCGATCCCTGCACGAAGATTGCTGGTGTCAAGTGGGCAGCACCAGCAGACGTCTGGGCCTGCTACACGTCTTTCCCCGTGAACCAGACCGAAAAGGCGAACGTGAGTGCCCGGTATCGCTTGCCAAGAATTCTCTACTGCATGACGATGTATAACTGATTGCGGCTACGTGATGCCCAGATCATTGAGGTGGTTACGAAAACTCTGGCCTTCCACACCTCCGTGAATTACGAGTTCCTTGCCCCTTTGCCCTTCAGCCTGGACGTCCATGAAGATGTGTTGGGTGACCTGTCCCGTATCTCCAAGCAGTCCTACAACTCCGATTTCGACTTGCATATCGACCTGAGTAGGACGCTTAAGCGGCTCATGGACGGTCATTGCGTCTACATCAATGATTGCTACGACTGTGAGCTCGTTCCACATCCTTCTCCGCGGATCCTGCTTGACTTGTTTGCTCCTCAACCACCTTTGTGACGTACCCAAAATCTTCTGCATCGACACTGCCCGAAACCGATGTAGCTATGAGATATCATGATTGGTCCATTGCGTACGCAATCGCCAGGAGGGCCGAGACATGCTTCTGATACACGGATAGTGCTGATAGTAGTTGTACTTTTTGCGTAGGGTGCTAAGAATCTCCTGCCGTTTGCATCTTGTGTAGTCCTTGATGCCATGATCTTCGCGCAGCATGTTCAGAGGAGGCCGTATCCTTACAGGTACGAATTCCGGGTTTCTTTGTGTGCTCACGGATATCTGTTTCGAGTTCATCGACTAACTGGAGGCCAATGCTATGTCGAATGGTATCATACAAAATCATATTACTTCGTGGGCGAAGGGACATTGCTGAAACGGCGAGAGATGTGTTGGAGATGTGGAAAAGCGGGTTGGATTCTGTGACTTCGGTGGTGGCCGCGCAAGTGGGTCTGGAGATGTTCCCCTGAAGACGAAATTCTCGTGGACTATGAAACTTGGCACATGATAGAATGCGTCCAGGAAATTGGCCAAATCGCATTGCATACGCATATTTTTAGTGTATCATACATGAACGCGGGCTTCGTGATGTAGTGCGGAGTTTTGGGAGGTGTGGGATGCCTACTGAATGTACGTGATACAACCTCGTATTCTATCAGAACAATAAATAGCTTTCACTGTGCAGTCTCAATGTTGGAATGATGAGCATGATGCATCGAGATGGACGCCCCATATGTCAAGAGCAAGAAATGTGCAAGAAGCGGTAACAGGCGGTCGTCGACGATCGTGACTGAAAGTTACTTCCGTTAAGCTAAGTTAGCCAAAATGGGTGAGGTGCCTCACCGAGGACGCTTGGCAGCACAGAAATTATGCGAAGAACTCTACGTAGACGAAGGAGACTCTGGCGGTCCAGCACCCTCACGTGTGCGAGGGACGTTAGGACGGGGCCCATTAGGGCGGCTTAAGCTAAAGTTTGGGGGAACGACACGAGAGATTGGCAACGGTGAACGGAGAGGCGGTGGTGTTGCGGCCCTGCGCGGCTGCCGGTCCGATGAAGGATTTGCGAAGAATCGCGAAGGTTCCGGCGGCGGTGTACGGTCGCCAACCGGATATGCCTCATCCAGCCTTTCACATTCTCGGGAGGGTGACGGAGGAGGAGGGGAGGTAATCCGCTAGGCCATGAAATCGTCGCAAATGCATCATGTTGACGGATGGGTGTTGCTGTAATTACGTGAGCAGATATCTGAGAAAAATCGCAGACACATACGAAGCCAAAAATTGCAGAGCGCTGACAACGTGAGGAACGCGGCCCGAGAGTCAGTGAGAGATTTGATAGGTGCTGGTCTCGCAGCTCCGGACGGAGCCCCTGGCGGCGTACGAAGCTGATCGGCCGCCTTCAAAAGCGATTCATAACCTCCTTCCTCCATGACAGATGTCGACCTGTGATACAGGCCATGAGTACGACGATGCGACGCGGAAGATAGTGGGTACTGACACTGAGATTGGACGCTGGTAGTTGGGGGGGAAAAGCGAACGGGGAGCAATGTGGACGGCACATGCCAGTTTTTATCCTCAAAGGTATGCGGCGGACAGGTGCTGACGGCATGGCTCGCGAATGATCGGGTTCTGCGAATCAGAATGTAGCGCGCAGTATGAGCGCTCACTTGAAATGGACGTGGTCTCATCTATTGCGATGGACATGCTCCCGTAAACGCACGAGGAGAGCTGCAAGTGGCAAGTACCAATCCAGTCGGAGGGCACATGTGAAGATAATCCTTGAATGTCACTGCACGCGGCGGAAAGAAGCAGGCGGCGAGCCACGTGTTCCGTGATACCTCACGATGTGATGCAAAGCGATGCAAATGGCAACTTGTATGCCAAACTTTACCATTGGAAATGCCAGCGTTCATCCAGCCAAAATGCGACAGCGGGTATTCGACCGTTGTATTCGTTTATGCTCCAGCCTTGTGCCGTCTGTCCTTGTGACATGTAGATAGCGCCCAATCTGTGCCACAGCAAACAGTGAGATCAAAAGTAGCTGTTATACTGCATGTACCTGGCTTAACGCCTGCGTTGGAGCGGTGCGTCGGTGTCGGAGCGGTGCATCGGCTTCGGCTCACTGGAACCGCCGAGATTGCAGGCGTGCCACCCTTGCAAATCCACACGGCGCGGCGACCAGTGTTCCGCTTTTGGGACCGTGCCGGGGAATACCATACCAAGAGATCCGCGACAACGGTGGATTCAACGGCCGTCGGTGTTAGAATTGCGAGAAGCTGAGCACATATAGATAATTCGAGGATGCCTTGGTGGGTAGGTGGGTAGATCACCGACCGAGTACTGCACATAAAATACAAGGAATTGATCAGCTCGTGTGCAAGCCGCCAGTACTGAAAGCACGGTCATGAACTTTGATTGCTCTCGATTTTGAAATGCCAACATCAGATCTGCGGTGGGCGTAGAATGTCACGACATACAGGGTCATCGACCTCCTGCACGAAATGCCAATAACGGCAGACATCGCAAATCCTTGAGGCCATCGTTTCCCAAATCCATAGCGCGACGTTCGCGGCAGCAGCAGCCGATAGTCCAAAAAATGTCGCACAAATCCCGGAAAAGCTGCTTGTCGGAGTTTTGCTTGTTGAAACAATAGCATGGCACGATGCGCCCCCAAGTTTGTAATGCGGATATTGAGTCTTTGTTGAACGGAAAACGCCGCAGTGCACGGACTGTCGATCCCCTGCACGAGATGTCGATGACAGGAGACGTTGTTGTCCCTCGGAGTCGGCGTCTCCCGAGTCTCTACCGAGCTCGCCGTGTCGGTATGATATTTGCAGTAAATACTGAACGAGATGTCGCACCGGATCGAGCAGCTCCTGGTCCCCAATGGAAGATAGTGTTTCTTTCTCCCGATGTCAACAACAGCGTAGCACGAAGCATTCCAAGATTTGCAACGTCGACGTCGAGTTTTCAGCAAATGGGGAGCGCCGTAGCACAGGAGCTGTCAATCCCCTGCGCGAAATGCCGATGACGGGAGACATTGTTGTCCCTCGGAGTCGGCGTTTCCCGAGTCTCTACCGAGCTCGCCGTGTCAGTGTGTGTTTGCAGTAGATAGTGAATGAGATGTCGCACCGGATCGACCAGCTCCTGGGCAAGGTGTCCAGATCCTCGACGGAATTTGTGATGACAGCGCGAAGTCGACGGGAAAATGCGAGCACGAAGATGTACTGATTCGTCAAGCTGATTCGTCAAGCTGAGCAAAAGACCGATAAAGGAAGAGAAAATCAGCAAAGGCAAAAAAAAATTGATGCCGTAGAACTTAACATTGCATCCTAGCCGTGTCACGGTCAATTTTCGAAATGTACGATCTGCATGCGGTTGAACAGCATCATTTATTTTGACGGAATGAAGCGCACCGTGCTCTTCCTAGGAAGCTACCCTCAAAGTTTTTTGAGATTTCAGACGAACGGCGCGGATGAACGGTGATGAGACGTGCATCAGAAGAATGAGACAGAAGCAGCGGTTCATCGGTGGCGTCGTCATGGACTTACTGAACTGAAAATTGAGCAAGGAGACGGATTAAGACATAAGTGCAGTTAACAAACCGTGGCAACTGCCCCCCCCTGCTTCACCCTCGTATCACCCTGCTATGTCGAATCCCCCCGTTTGGAACAACGACGAGCGAGCGCTGTTAGGTGATCACTGTCCTGAATATGTGGCCTCGTGGAAGCGACAAGC